TATTTTGTGTTTTTCATTGATTCTCAGCCTATTGTCTAAGATAAAATGTTAAACTTCATTTAAATTAACAAATTTACAATCTCACTTTTCTAACTTTTGCTGACGTAAATTCATTTAACAATTCTTCTAGCTGCTAGTTTTTCCATAATTCATTTATTATGGAAATAATTGTAATCCCAGTTAAATTCTGATGGGAATAAGGAAAATTGATGTGTTTAGCGATAACCTCATTTTGAAATTAAACAATGCATAAGCCCTTGTGCAGCTCAATTGTTTATATCAGTTTGCGTCTCTCTCTCTCTCTCTCATTGGTATGAGTTCTAACCATTTGCCAGATGAGCTATAAACTTGGAATATGACAAAATATTGATTTTAGCCTGTAACCGACAGGAAAATTCTGAAAAGTATAATTTCATCCTTAACCAAGAAAAAAACAAAAAAAGCTGGATCCAACTTTAAAGATTGTTTGTCACTATTTTTGAAGGTCTGTTGAGACTATGTGGTAACACCTATGAACAAATGGCAGACCGGTGGCAATTAGTGAGCAGACTTGCATTTTTATGGATTACAATTTAAATTATTTTAAATAATAAAAAAGTTATTGAGTTTTAAAAAAGTTGTTTTTGAAAAGCTAAACCATATTTTGAATAGAATCGACTGCAAAGACTTGGCTGCTTGCATTTGAGAGATATGGATTTTTGTTGGTTATAGAGCATTTAGTTTATGGCGGTAAGTAAAACTTTGTGGTAGTGTAAAATAAAAATTTATGTTAGTGTTACCTAAAGGACTTTGGCTAATGTTAGTAAATGTATAATTTTGGTCCAAATATTTAATATTATTTTCTCATTCCATGCAGAATTAGATATTCTTTAATTCTTGAAATGTAACAGTTGTCGCTAGGAAGCAATGTTTTGAAGTTTTAGATCAGTAATTGAAAAAGTTCAAAAGTTTGTAAATCTAATAAAGATGTGCATGAGGGAAACATTCAATAAAGTTAGAATCGGTAATTATTTTTCAGAGAATTTTGAGCTTCATTTCGGGTAAAAGCAGGTTGATTTCTTTTCAACTGTCCTGTTTAATTCATCACTAGAACATACCATTTTAAAGTGATATGTACTGAAAAAGGTTTTAATATAGGTGGAAAATATCCTAGCTTGAGAATGCAGATAGTTTGGTACTGTTAATTGAAGACAAATGATGAAACTAAATTCTAAAACTGATTATGTAATAAAATACTTAGCCTCTAAAGAACTGAGACTTGAAATTAATTCAAATAAAGCCAAATATATGGTTAGTTGTAGAAACATTGCTGATTCAGGATAAAAAGATATAGAAGAAAATACGTTTGGACACTTATGAAAATTTATATATTTAGGGTCAATGACAACCAGAAAAAACAATATGAAGAGAAAATAAATGCTGTACATAATTATCATTTTTTAGTTGTAAATATACTTACCTAAAATGAGAGACAGTACCACCAATAATCTCATTTTAGGTAAAAATGTCACCTTATGTTTGATAACGTACTTATCAAACTAAAGGGAGCAAATTTATATTCTCGAAAATAGAATATAAATTTTACATCCCTTTCCATATGAAATTTCCTCCAATTTCAAATCAAATCAAACTAACTGTCTTCGAAATATAAGCGTTTACAGATCCGAAAGTTGAAGTATTTTTTGAAAGTAGTAAATGAAATTTGAAGAATATCTACTTGATCATTTGTTTATCAATCCCAACTTGCGAACATATGGAAAGGGGACTTTTGGGCCGAAGCTTCCCCCTAATTTTTTTGTTTTCAATGGTCCCTATTCCTTTTTGTGAAAGATTTGAGCTGAATGTTAAATAATCACAATGTGCGCTCTTTTAAACAAATGTAACTCGAATATAGCTACTAAATGTGATCAGTGTAATTAAAAAAGGTTTTCTTAAAATTGGGAAAATAAAATACATTTGCACATATGGAAGAGGAAGTAGTGAATGAAATTCGATACAACTGATACAGCATAATTTTTTATAACAATCCCAAATTTGAGTCTAATTGAACTATTCGTTTCTGAAATATCGACATGTATAGGATGGCCACGCCAAAGAGCAATATTGATAAGGTAGTGAGGTTGTCAGGAAAATTTGTATAAATTGTATTGTCTGAAATAAACAATATTTCATACATGTGTTAGCATTTTGGTTATCAAAGTCTTATTTTAATAGAGTTAGAAAATACTACCATTGAAAAATATAATTATAAGTTTATAATGATATATTTTAAAGAAAGATAACTAAATTAAAATTTCTTTTCAGAATCTTGAAAATGGCTCGAGAAGCCGAAACGTTGAATAATAAATAAATAAAGTGAAAGCGTTTGTTGATGGTGACCTTTGGCCTAATACTTTTAAAAAACATAAAAAATTGCACCAAACCTAAAAAATATGACAAGAAAATTAAAAAGTAAGATATTATTATATGCATAATGAGAAATGAAACTAACGGTTTGAGAAATATATATATATACAGGGTGTCCCCTAAGAATAGGGGAATTTTTATAGGAGTGATAGCAGACCTTAAGAGCTACAAAAAAATTTATATAACTATGAGCCAATTTTTTAGCAGAAAAGTAGCATATCCAAGTTTTGTGGTTTTTTATTGAATCGAAAGTAATAACTGAAGAAATATTTAATTTAAGTAATTATTAATTGCTTCATTGTAAAAAAGATGAAATTTACCTTAAATGGACATAGTTTATCATTGTTAAAATCATTTACAGACGATTTTTGAGCTGCTAAACTAAGCTAAATTCTGTATAAAGGAAAATCATAATTATTTGCCTTTTTTTTATCATCATCCAATTAATAATCTTTAAGATCATATTAATTAAGTTGAGGTATATTAGGGAAAAATTTGAGATTCAGCTCATGTTTTGTAAAAAAATGATATTTTTTATCCTGTCAAGTAAAAGTACCCCCAAAGTTTTCAGGAAAAATGACTACAATTAATTGTTGCAAAGCTTTCATTTCTTGTTTTCCCATGATCTGGAATATATTTTCATAAACCAAATCGCCTAAACACACAATTTATTAATAAAAAAAATTAATTTGAAAAATACTGATTTTTCAAATATTTTTTACAGTAAATTGGTTATAAACTGTGTTTTTCACACAGATCTCTATTTTAGGAATTTGTCTGTATTTATGAGTAAAAAATTAAAAGTTTCTAGTAATAATAAGGTAAATTTAATTTGTTTTTAAATGAAGCAATTATTAATTACTTAAATTAAATATTTCTTTAGTTATTACTTTCGATTCAATAAAAAAAACACGACTCCCTTAAACAACCACAAAACCTGTATTTCTTACTTTTCTGCTGAAAATCGGTCCATTGTTTAAATGAACTTTTTTGTAGCTCATGGTCTGCTATCTTGCCTATAAAATATCCCTACACTTACGGGACACCCTATATATATTTTATAGGCAAGATAGCAGACCATGAGCTACAAAAAAGTTCATTTAAACAATGGACCAATATATGTATATATATATATAAAACAATAAACATAATTTCACTTAGATTTTTTTTTACAATTTTATAGCAAGGACTATTAGAAGATGTTTCTTTAAACATCAGAATGAAAATGCATTTTCAGCATGGTGTAGCTCCTACTTATTTCGCTTTTTGAGTGAGGCAACATATGGATGAAAGGTTTTCAGATCATTGAATTGTTCACGGTGGTCCAATTAGTTTGCCTCCATGATTTCCAAATCTCACAGTAATGGATTATTGTTTATGCGGCTGGTTCAAAGATGAAGCATACAAAGTAAAAGTAGATACTCAGAATGCACTAATTCAACTTACTAAAAATGATGCTACAAGCGTCATTAAAGGAAGACATAAAACAATCAGGTGGGCAATGGCCGCTCTTCAAAAGCAAAGCTAAAATATTTAGAAGTCAATGGTAGTATTTTCGAACTTTATTAAAATAAGACTTATAACCAAAATGCTAATGCATGTATAAAATACTGTTTATTTTTATTAGACAATAAATTAAAAAAAAATTTTCGTGCTCAACTATTTGCTTATTAGTCATATTTATTTTTTTCTCTCTTATTTATTATTTATTTTATTATTTTTTATTCTCTTATTTATTTTTTAAAAGAAAATATATTATTTCACCATTTTAAATTTTTTTTGCATATACTTCTGTTAACTATCAACATGATTAACTTTTTAAAAAATGTATTTATCGTGATAAGTCTTATGGTCAGAAATAATGTACTTTTTTCAGCACACCTTTGTTGCTGCAGCAACCCACAATAAAGTTGCTTTTTTTATTCTATTATATAGATGAGCTTTGGGGCTCCACCAAACCATCGAATTCCTATCGTATCCAATCCTTACAATCCAAAATCCTCTGTAAAATCCATAATGCTCCATACTTTGTCACAAATAAAACCATTCATAAAGACCTTAATGTACCATATGTCGCTGATTTAGCTCGAGCCAGATATCTATCCTTTCATGATAAACTTCAGTCCCATCCAAATCCGCTTGTTTCCACTCTTGCTTCTTCCTCGTTCCCTGATAATCCTCCTAGGCGTCTGAAAAGGAGATGGCCTCGTGATCTTCTTACTTAAAATTATGTAGAGAGTGCTACCACTGGGTAGTGTCTCTTCAAGCCTGTACATGCCGTTATTTGTAATTTGCACATATTTACTAGTTGTATTTGTATACAGTTGTAAATTTCATTAAATAAACAAAAAAAAATATATATATATATATATATATATATATATATATAAATGTTCTATATGTTTATATTAGAAAATTTGATTTGTTTATTATAATGCCTTCCCTAAATATTGTTAGAACAAAATGTACTTCAATATTATTATTTCTTTTTTTTGGTCAGAGATAAACATTCTTTTGTTGTCTGTATTGTAATTATTAGAAAATTTTGTTTCCTAAAATAAAGTTTCCTTTCTATTTTATCTCTCATAAACTTTATTTTGGACAATTATACAAACATTTACTAAGTAACAGATAAGTTCACATTTGATTTTTTAAATTTATTATTTATCTCACTATTTTATGAGTCTGTATTCTAAGATAACAATACGATTCAGGCTGTTGTAAGATTATATAAAAATATCTAAGCATCAACCTTTGTGGGACAAGAATAGATTTAATAGGTAGTAACTACATATAACTCTTGTTTTCTTTAGTAATTGTATATTTTTTATAACATTTAAATTTTTTTTCCAGATTTAATAAATTCCATAAGTAATAAGATACATTATTATTTTCTTTGGAGATAATAACAAATAAATCTATTGTATTTCAATATTCAAACTTAAATTTAAAAAAGGAATTAAACTTAAGAAAGACAACAGTGTTTTTTTTTTAATTTATAAGATTTTTTCAAACTCCAAAATTTACATCAAAGATAGATTCTCCGTAAGTCTGAAGGGGATGTTATCATATTGCATTGAGGGCACAACTTCTTAGCTCCCTGAAAGAAAAAAAATATTAGACGAAATTAATAAAATAAAACATAAATTCAATTAATGAAAAAAAAATGAATAATTAATACTTTTAAGATCATCATTAGTGCTAAAGCCCATTACTATGATAGACCTGATATAGCATCCCCTGTCAGTCTGTATGGTTTGCTGCCACAGCTCTCCAGTTCTGAGTGCCCAGGAGAACCTTTGCATCCCCAGAGACAATGTCCAACAATATTATGTTCAGTCTTTCCATTCTTCTCTTTCTATGTAGTTTCTTATTGAGAACCTTCTTGGGAATCTCACTACTTCATGTTCTCATCACATGCTTAGCCCATAGGAATCCTTTCAACTTGATGACCATATCTCCAAATAGACTTGATTGACTACAAACAAACTACTTGAATAGGTTTCCCTTAGTTCAATCAGGAATCTGCCTGAAATGCCTTGCCAGGCCAAAGCAGCATTGACTGGTAGCTGTGATTGTGCTACTGATCAAATCAATTTTGTTTTTCTAGTTCACTTCAGTTCTCTGAGGCATTTAAAGCCACTCACCTTCTCAAACTAGTAGCAAAGATTCCAATTCCTTCCTACATCCTCTAAATCTCATATATTTGTCTTGTTATCTTTGACAAAAAGACCAAGATTTTTTGCAGCATTTTCCAGAGCCAGGAATAACTTTTAACCTTATTTATTCTGACCTGGCATCTTTGTCTAAATATTCAGGGTACCCTAATAACTGGACTGTACTGTTAAATAGAATGGCCTGGAGTTGGTTAACACACTGAGCTTCCTCTCCCTCAAAATTGAAGACTAAACAGGAAACGACATTACCTTGCTTTATGTCACAGTTTGTGTCAAAGGAGTCTGAAAAGTCATGACCAATGCGCCTATACATTTCGAACCTAATATGGCCATCATGGCCACAAGACGATCATGCTTTTCATGGACGTTCATCTTTTCTAGGATTTGATACAGTTCTTGTTGGGTTCAACTGTAAGGAGATTTAAAATCCATGAAAAGATTGTGAGTAATGATCAATGATCTTATGTTCTTTACTCTTGTCTAATATTTTTTATGAAAATATTTGGTTTTGTCTGTAATGGACAAAATATCATATATAGTATTTACCCAACTCTCTTTTGACAAGTTTTTTGAAGTGGATGTTTGACAGAACTTCATATGCTCATGGAAAGAGGACTATAATGGGTTAGTTTATAAAATGGCCATACCAACAAAAATTCCAGCATGACTGATTTAAATTATTTTTTATGGTAGAAAAAATGCATAACATTTTTTAAAATTTTATAATCAGTAGGATAACAACACTAAAAGATCCATCTAGACTGGTCTATATTAAAATGAAGATGACTAGGACATTAATAACATGGTCAAGTTGCAATTAATGAGTGAAAGAACCCAAGGAAAACAATAAGTAGGTAAGGGCCAGACTTTGAGGTAGATATGTGCTACTCCAAGACAAATTTACTAACAGGACCCTGTGATAGATATCTTTTAACTCACCAGAAAAAAAACCAACATAAAACTGACAATACTTGTATAACAAACCATAAAAGGAATATTAATCAAGGATAATATGGATATTCAAATATATATATTTATAAGTTTATCTTATCATCTACCCATTAGTTTAAGACAAGATTTCAAAATGCAATACACAGGAAACAAACAAAAGGGAAAAAATAAGAACATTCATTCAGTTAATTAATAGGATAATAACAACTGATATGAAGCCTCCTGGAAAACAAAATGGTAGTTTGGTATGGAATTGACAAACACAAACTTTTATTTATTTAACCAACAATTATCTTATCCAAAACTTAACAGAGGAAAGCAGTAGAAGCAGAAAAAAAAAATGTGATTTTTTGGATTTTTTTTTTTAAATGAAATAACAAAATAATTTTATTCTGGGAATATGTTACACACCCTAATAGTCTTTTAAATATTGTTATCCATTCAAGTAAATGACAATCCATAAAGCAAGAAAGCAAATTAATTTACTTAGGAGAGAAAATTTGTAACCAATTTTAGGAAACATAGATTATCTGCAGTAGACCAATATATTCAAGCCAGAAGGAGAAAGTCAACATTTATTCTGTTTATTATGTGTTTTTTTCAAATATAAAATAAAAGTCGGCGGTCAAGGAGAAATCGAAAGAGTTGTTTTACTTAATTACCACAATAATTGTATAAAAAAAGTAATAATAATATAAATTATTACCAAAGTATGGAGCCAACACTGCTCACAATATACATGCCAACATCCAATTGATATAAGTGGTTTAACATACTGATCCTACAAAAGAAAATTAATAACAGAGTTAATGTTTGCATTAATCAATTCAAAAAGTTGTAACCAATTAAGAGAATATTAAAACTATAGTTAGTAGGCAGCGCAAACTCATCCAGCATTAAGCTGACATTAATAAATTATAATTTCCTTTATCCTCCAATACTACTTGATGATATTGAAATCTTGTTATATTTTTCAATATTCTGTAAGTAATATATGTGAGTGTAAGGGGAAAAAACAGAATGTTAGTTTCAACATATAATCCATGGTACAGACATTTTTTTACCAAATTAATAACTGTTGTTCAAAACTTTATGAATGGCTCTATTTTATTATTTTATTTTATTAACCTACAACTTGTTTATTTATGAAGTTTTCGGAAAAGGATTTTTCTTCAATCTGGAGATTGGTAAACTTTAATGGGTCAATTTAATTGTGTACTAAATTCTTATGAACACACATTTGCTTTCCATTTGAATTGTAAGATAATTTGATTACAAAATCGATAAAAAAAAGGTGGCAAACAAAAATATTGGGCCATTTGGTGTGACCTCAACCCTCCAAAATTAATTAATTTAATCAGGAAAGTCCCATTTCTGAGGATTTTCATAAATAATTAAGTTGTGGTTTATGATAAAATGAAGTTTTAGACAAGTGTTGATAATTTGATAAAAAAAGGGTCTGTACCGGCATTAGTGACACATGAGTTCACCCTTAGACTGCCAACTAATTGTGGTCGACATAGAGTAACGTAGTAAATCTGTATTTTGTTAACTAGATGACTTGTTATTTATCTTCAACAAAAAAATATGAAAATAAGTTCAGATATATATTCAAATAGGAGTAGGTTACCACCAATATTAATCAATTTACCAAAGAAATGTAGCTGACAATAACAAGAATGTTATTTAAAATTTTAATTTAACAATTATTTCCAATTGAGAAATAAATAGTTTTAGTCTATGTAGTATACATATTATGTTGTATACATATACATATTTAATATGTTAACCTTGCAAAAGGTCGGGTAATTCAAATTTCTTTTTTATGTAGTTAAGTAAGTATTGAATATAAAAAATCCAAGTTTTCACCCTTGAAAGCCATGTGGGTACGCTACAGTGCTCCAAAAACAATAGAAATTTTGAACTTTTTTTGGTTTACGCTAAATATCTCTTTTTTAGGGCGATATATATAAAAAATGGTTATATTCAATGTTAGACCTCTTTCACACTGAAGATGCAGGATGCAAGATGCATTTATCCTGCCTCCAGGATGCATGCATCTTGACACTAGACTGTATAATTGAAAGAGAGCTTTCACAACGAAGATGCAAATGCGTATTGCATCCTGGATGCAAGATACACTTGCCTCTTGGGAACCAGCCAGCTGGAGTTTTCAATGTGCATCTTTGTTGAGCTGGTCTTGCATACTCGCTCCGCCCCACAGTGGAGCGAAAGACGGATTTTCATGAAATAAGCTTAGAATTTGTAAATTATGTCGGATTAATTTGATATTTAGTACCCTTATGTTTTCATGTGCTATTTATTCAGTCAAAATTTAAAAAAATCCACGAAAAACTTAGAAAATTCCGGTTCCTTTGTTTAAACCTGGAAATTTTTAAACGTGACAATAAATTAACTTCGAAAATGATTAAGAATTTTTGAAACACAAAATTTTAGATGCCTATTTATAACTACTGTCTACATTACTATATATAATCATTATTTTAATGCTTTGTTTTTAATTTTAAAAACACAAAATATAATTATAATAAGTTTATAGGTAATGACTATAAAAATGTACCGTTTATCCATTACAAATATTCATTTCACAATAGTTATTATGAAATAATAAACATTAATTTTATTTTTATTCCAATAAATTACATAATTAACAAATTAAATAACAAAACCTCTGGGCATTTGACCCATAATACATAAATTAGCTCAGTGTTTGACTAGGCTCTCCCTAGAGAAGAGTCCACAATATAATTAAGGGGAATTAATTTATAACAGAATCTAAGAAACTACATACATATAATAATAATACTAAAAAAAATATTGCATTTTTAGGGATAATTTATGACTGGTCTTTTAATAAATTAGATGATTGAAAGATGAGTAATGGGTAAGATTGGCAAATCAGTTATTGATACAATAAGTTATAGAAATACATGCATTTAAAAATATAAATACAAATAACATTAATTTTACATGTTTCTAGTCTGAAGATGGGATAATAAAGTGGATTCCGAAACATCATAATAATACAAAAATGTTTTGGGATTTTTTTTTCTCTCTTATACCAGTCGTTGGTCATTTGGCCATCCGACATCTTGCTGCTTTGGGAGAGTAACTGCTATTAATTTTTTTTTCATATACCTTATGTTAAAGTGTATGCTTCAACACACTCAGCCACGTCCTCTCTTCTTCCATTAACTGTCTGTCTCTCGGCAATTTTTGTGAGAACAGGTTCGTTTTTCTATGTATCATTTATTTACATTTTCTCCTCACTTATCTTTCTACCTTTACTATCTTTTCCATATTCATGCTACTATTTTGTTTATATTGTTACATTTACTCATTGTATCTTATTCTCTTAATTTACATAACTTAATTTTTCAATTCTCTTCTATGTGTACAATATGTTTTGAAAGATTTCACTACGTCTTAATTTTTCTATTTACTTTTATTATTTCCTTTATATAAATTCATATTCCTTTTTTATTCTATGTTTATCTCAGTTCCTCTTAACATATTATGACATCAACTTATAGCAACTACGTTACCATTATTTTTTTATTGTTTATTTTATAAGTTCCTAACTCTGTGACCATTATTTTATAGGACAAGGCAAGACTCCAAGAGATCACAGCACTTCTCCAGAACTCATACAATTAGAATTATAAATTTGTTATACTATAATTTTATTCTTTTCAAATGTTACCGATATTATTATTGTTGATAACAATTAATAAAAATACATTATGATAATTGTTTGATAGTAAAAAATACTTTAATCATTCGAAACATACAGCCTTCTCACAGACTTACTGTTTGGAGAAAATAAATAAATGAGGAGTTGATCGGGGGGGAGGGGGTGCGGCCAAATAAATACTAAATTATATAAATAGTATTATTTCATTTAAATTAATACTAAATTATATAAATAGTATTATTTCATTTAAATTAATACTAAATTATATAAATACTATTATTTAATTTAAATGAAATAATACTATTTATATAATTTATTATTTATTTGACCGCACCCCCCCCAATCAACTCCTTCTTATATTATATCACGGTCAACCATCTCTACATCAAAATAAATAAATAATGTGCTACCTTGCAAATAAGACACATGAACTTCATTTCAGATGAATGTCCTGCTTCAAGTTGACGAATCCTGCTTTTAAGAGCTTCTATAATTTGCTTATTTTCAACAGAGTCAATTTTAATTGGTTCTTCATCTTCAGGTGAATTCTCATTCTTTTTTGAAACAGCATTCCCATCTTTTAAGTGGACAATGGTCTGTTTCACCGCATTACTAAATGAATGAATAGATAAATATTAATATATACATAAAATATTCATTTTATTAGCTATCACCAATGTACCATGAAATATAACCATTAACAAAATTTAAAAATAGCTATTGATATCTAGTAATGGTTGTTCTGGAAGGTCAATTCTAAAGTTTCTATTGATCTATTTCTTTTGAGTTTACAGTAGACTCTCCCATATCCAGACAGCTAAATACATAAGTAACAACAAAACTTCATTTTTTTCCTTTAACCTCTATAATAAAACTGAAATAAATCACAAGAATATGAGTTTTTTTTTAATGCATTTATAAAAAAATACATGTAATCACTTTTATCATTTTTAAAATGAGAATTGTGAATCAAAAGAGATTAAAGTTAAATGGGAATTAATATTTTTTTCTTTTTAAATTCACACAACAATAATTATTTTTATTACAAACCTTGCATTATATTACAGATCTTTTGCCCTCTTAACAAACATACTCCATTTCGGCCTATTACTTTCCAGTTATCTGCATGTAGCTCTATTGTATCCAGAGAAGGGCACATTTATATTCACAAAAAGAAATATGAAAACAGATGATACATATTCACAGCTGTAAATATACATATGGCCGTATTCACCACTTTAAAAGTGAATACAGCTATATTTACAGTTGTAAAAGTGAATACGGCTGTATTCACATTTATTAAAATGAAAAAGCTTAAATTTGCAGAAATGAATGGAAATATTTTCACACAACCTAATGAATGAATACTCTTATTTATTAAATAAATATTAATTTATTTGTTACTTTAGCTATTTTCCAAAATTAAATAAAAAAGTGTGCAAAAATTAAAATAAAGTTCTGGACAGGAAGGGTTTATTAAATAAATCTCTTAAAAAATGTTAAAATAATAATTTATTTAAAAATATTATAAAAAATAAACCCTTATTTCTTAAATATAAAACCATTGTGAGAAAATAATTAAACTAATTACTATAAATTATGTTAATTAGAAAAACAGTCAAAAAAGGTTTAATATTAACTTTAAAAACTAAAATAATTGTATTAGAAATAAGTGAGAAACCTTTCTAATAATGACTTGTCTTTCTCTTCATTATTATCAACTGCTAGTGAAATAACTAAATCAGCATCGGTATATTGTATAGGTCCATAATGAGAAGTTTCATCTCGATCAACTACTAATTCTCCTACTCCTTCATCTTCATCAACTTCTGAATTTTGGAAACTCCGTTCACATACTCCTATAAAATATCAATGAATAATATGAAAAATATTTCTTATAAACTAATATAAATCTCACATTTAATAAAATATCAATTTTAATTAGTTAATGGATGAGTACACCAGCAACAAGTTGCTATAACTTCAATTAATTGGAAGCATTATAAGCACATTTCAATTTATGAAAGTATTACTTGCATCTACAGTTTATCCTTTCTTGAAAACCTGTTTTCTCTGTCTATCTCTTCATAGTTCTTTTCCCTCACTCACTACTCTTCCAGATCCGATACTTGGTTGGATACTTTTTTTTATTCTTTTTTTTTTATTGAAAAATATTATATTCTTTCTCAAAGGACATTTATAATAGTGTTAAGAGATCACATTCACACTCTACGTACGATAAATAAATTAAATTATACAGAAAAATAATATATATACAATAAATAAGAATAAAATAACCTAAAAATAAATAAATAAAAAGAACACATACATACCTATATACAATCTTTACAATCTGGCGAGAGAACTCCAAGCCAGACTTGTCCCTCCAACCGTGGAGGGAAAAGAATGAGTCCAGGAGATCCCTGCACTTCTCTCTCAACCGTGTCACTGGGGCTAAACCCAGTGGAGATTGAGCAAAAGTGGTTTAGCCACATACACTCATGTCATGAGTGGAAAATCTGACCATTGCCAGAATTCCAATATTTACAAACTATAAAAGGTCACGGGGCCACTGCCGTTTTAACCTTCTTGGAGGATTATAGGGATGGGTGGTGCTTGATAGGGATTGTGCAAAGGAATTTGGATGATGGGTAAGGTTCTGGTAAAATTTGGAGAATTAGATCTATATATTAATGATTCTGCTCAAAATATTCTTTCCTATTCCCAGTTTCCTTTCTATTCTCTAATGACATGATCCAAACCTCTGATACAACCTAGAACATTTATATACCTCAACCTGAATTCTGTCACGTGAAAAAAATCCTACCGGATTTTGAAAAATATCATTAGAATAAGACTTATCCCTGTTCCTGTATTGACACTATAGCTGACACTCTCACTTCCAACCTCCTCAGTATCCTTGATATCATCAATGCCCCCCTTAAAATTACTACCCTTCACTGCCAGGCTGGAATTCAGTGTTCCCTACCTCTTGTAATAAAGCCATTGTCTTTTTAGATAAAAAACCCAATCTCCATTCTTTCCAATCTCTCAGAACCCCTAGAAAGATTGGTGTAATACCAAATTTCCAATCACCTTGATCCTTTCCAATCTGGTTTCCATCCCGGTTATTCCACACAATTTGCCTTAATTAAAATTACCAGTGATATTCAGACTGATAGATGATAAAAAATTAACTGTCCTTATACTTTTTGACGTCTCCAAAGCCTTCAATTCCATTAACTATTCCACCCATTGTATTCCACTTTTTTATATGGTCATGAATATCTCGTTAAGGAGGAGTTAAATTGGATTGGAGCTTGATCATACTAAATGCTTGTTTCTCACATTATTTCTTATTTTATCTAAGAAGAACTTTAATGTGGATGATAGTGTTGGTTTTACAAAGGGTTGCAGGAGGTATGGTCTGTGTGGGAGTACCTGTGGATTAAGTTTAATCATGCAGGATTGCACCATGTCATTGTTAAAGATGAATGGCTCACGAGGATTGGCAAGGCATCACTGAAGCCATAAAAAAGTAAAATGTTCTAGTGACTTCATGCCTTGTGTGTTGCACTGAGGCTCATGTTTTTAGGAAACTCAACATCCTTGTTAGGTCAGATTTGAGGGGTTGGCTACAATCCGTAGGATACATTCTATGCATGAACTGTTGGTATTTGATGTTCTTGCAGTGCTTTATCTTCAAGGGTATGTTCCTTAGAATAGAAAGAATAAAGGTTTTCATTACGTATATTTGGCCTTGAAGGAAGAAGGACTAACCTAGGATGTAAGAGGTTCATTCAGGATCTAGGGTCTGGCCTCAGAGAGCAATATTTTATATTGATTGCATATTAATCCCTTGAAATGTATTTGCTTTTAGGTCCCAAAAAAAAGATTCCAATCAATGTTTAATAAAATGTTGATAGTTTATTTCTATTTTGACCAAGACAATTACAAATAAAAATATTAAACTAAAAGAAAAAAGAAAACCTGAATAAGTTTTATAACATAAAAAAGGCTACTAAACATTTAAGCATTAGGGAATTCAGAAATTAGACAGTTAGGTAGCTATTCAGTTGAATTGCTTTGCAATAAATTCTTATTTTTGAAAAAAAAATATATATTCAATAATTATATACAAATACAAATTATATACAATCAATGTTTAATAAAATGTTAATAGTTTATTTCTATTTTGACCAAGACAATTATAAATAAAAATATTAAACTAAAAGAAAAAAGAAAACCTAAATAAGTTTTATAACATAATTAAGGCTATTAAACAGTTAAGCATTAGGGAATTCAGAAATTAGACAGTCAGGTAGCTATTCAGTTGAATTGCTTTGCAATAAATTCTTATTTTTGAAAAAAAAAAAAAAATATATATATATATTATACACACACACATAAATTGTAATGTTAAAACCACCATTTATAATAAAGGACTTTATACCTCCATATCTTCCCAATACAACTGGAGATACTTGTAATCTCCCCTGCCCTGACCATTCGTAGTCATCATAATCTCCTTCCCCTTCTACATCCACAGTTTCTTCTTCATCTTGCACATCAAAAGAACCATGCTACAAGAAATTTAAAAGAATTTATAAATTGAAAACCAAAATATGAATATTAAGGACTACTAGAGCCACAACATATTCAAAAAAGCATTTAAGTAAGATAATAATATTTCATTATACAATAAAATGAAATATTCAGAAACTTATTATTTCCTAAAAATAATATAATTGTACAGATCATAGGCTTTTATTTAAACATTAATGAATTCTATTTACATGGCTTTGGTAGACTGATAATTATTTAGCAAAGGAATAATAGGTGAAATTTAGAGAAGGATTAGAAGTCCAATGATCTCCCTAGTTGGAATGCTCAGTTCTTGATATAGTCATTGATAACTATTCAGGAGTTATCTATTCTCAGATAGTTGAATCTTGGATTGGTAATCATCCATTAATGAGAGAATGAATATACTATATATGAATATACTCTCTTCTTCATCTTTCTCCTATATCTGAAAAGTGGTGATGTTTTTGTAAGGTTTTCCTGAGAATGGATTTGCTCTGCATGATCCAATCATCTGTGTTGGTTGTGGCTCTATGCATGTCAGGAAGATAGAAGCTGATGGTTTCAGACCTCAAGAAGAATTAAAGGATTAAGAGTATATCTTTCTCCAAGACTCACGGATCACAGCAGAAAAAAAGTTTTGAAAAAATGGGGATCTTGTTTCAGTGAATCCCAGAATCTTTAAAGTAACTGGTCTTCCTGATACTGATCAGTGATTGAAAAGTTCCATAAAAAAGGAAGTGGAGTTATTATCAGGAATGGTGTCTTAATTCCTTGGTGTAGGAATTGGTGTGAGTAGTGGGAGAGTCCCCACAGCCACTGATCTGCTAGCCTGTAGTCTATCAGCACCTCACTTGTACACCAAACTTTTACCTGTCACATTTGTTCAGCATTCCCAACAATACAAGCTGGCCTGTATACACTCAGTTTTAGAGTCAGTACTGAATTCTGATATTAGATGAATGCGTAGGGAGGGCCAGTGGCAAGAAAATGGGCAATGTCATTTTTTGTAATATATATATAGTAACATCCCTCTTATATTTTAAAATAATAATAATAATATAACCTCAGAAGATCACTTTATACCCTTAAGATACTTCCAAAAGAAATAAGAGGTTGTTAAATAAAAAATAAAATTATAAAAGTATTAATATATTTATTTATCTCAGGTGTGGGTTACTGACAATCAGATCAACTCAGACAAACTATTATTATTTACACTATTTATACTAAAATTAAACATTGATTTTAAAATAAAGTCAAGTATGAATTGACAAGCTAACCTTTTTTCTACATACAATGTTTCTTCCTTTGTGGCACTGAACTCATTTGTCTTTACACATTTTCTAATGTTCTGCCAAACACATATCCCAAAATGGTAATACTATTACTGGGGTTTTCCTACTGGAGCCAGGATCACTTCTCCTATCCTCTCTTCACTACAGCCACACAACAACTGAAAGAATCGGGATGTGGTTAACCAGGATGTTAGTAGCCCCCCTTGAGGTCCGGTCCATGGACGGTCTGTTTCAAGGAAAGAAATATAAGTCCTCGTGCACCTGCTGACTTCGAGCAGCCATAATCCATGGATCTAGACCGATTTGTCACTGTCCTTGAACCTGAGTGAATGGGTGGGAAGGGCACTGCCAGATTGGTCCCAAAGGGATGGCTATGGAGCTACGGGTGGCCTGCCGCTGCACCATAGAGACCATGGTATGTAGCAACATGAGGTTGGGTGACCCCCTCCAGGTTATCTGAGTTCCCGCAAGCAACATAACTCTGTAAGGAGACCACATCTGACAGAAAAAAAAAAAAAATATATATATACATATACATAAGCAACGTCGAGCGTTGTCGGTACTTGGATGGGTGACCGTCCACCACGGAATGGTACGCTGCCCGAGATTCCTCTCCTCTCCTCGGGTATGTGAGACCTGTGTCAGGTGTCAGCCTACTAGAGGCAACTCACACCACAGGGAGGTGAGTGACCCTGTGGTAGACATAGCTCCTGGTTCTCCAGGTTGGGGGTTGGGCATAGGACTAATAACTATCCCGTCAAAAACACCATATTAGGAAACCAGAAACCAGCCTTGGAAAATCTGACTGTCTTAACATGGTAATGACTCCGGCTTTGTATAACGGACTCCATATCGGATCATGGAATGTTCGGAGCTTATACAGACCAGGAGCCGCCCAAACGGCAGTTAATGAAGTAAAAAGTACAACATACCGTTAACAGCCATTCAAGAGGTAAGGTGGCCAGATGGTAGGGAAACCACTATAGACGGCTATAAACTGTTCTACACCAGGAGAAACGACAAAAATGGGACAGCTGGCACTGGATTTATAGTTAATCCGGCAACAAGGAATTCAGTAATAAACTTCACCCCAGTTAATGAAAGGATATGTGTGCTGCGCGTAAGAGGTCGTTGGTTTAATATCACGATTATTAATTGGTGTATGCACCAACTGAAGAAAAAGGATTTTGGGCTTGAAATTGCTTATATTGCAATAGTGCTTACCAAAACGTCGAGCTATGTCCTACTCATTTGTCAGTAGCTTAGATTCAGTCTGGAATGGGCTGTTTGAATGTATTGTATTATAGTTCAGCTCTGATAAAAACCTGTGCACTTTAATGACATGTTTTCTGAAATAAAGTTTCTTGAGAAAGAATCTGTAAGCTAACCTTTTTGACTGTTCAATAACACACTTTAGTTCAGCTTCTCAAGGCTTGAGTTTAGTTCTGTCTTCTGTTTGTCCAGTCATTATTGCTTTTTCTAGGGCCTTATCACATTCTCTTTTATGAATGAATAAAAATAGTATGGAATGGAAGAATGACCCATATATAAATATTGTTTTTATTTTAATTTTTTATAAGTTGTAATTATTAATAAATGTGGATTAACAAAGATATTATTCATTCAATCTTGAAAATATTTTATATTATCAAGCATAATAGACCCTTAGACAATAAACATAGCATTTTTTTTTTTTTGCATTGACATTACAGACCATATAGATCTTTTGATGTCTTAACAAGCCTGCTCCATCTCCACCTGTCATAGGCTATTTCTTTCCATTTATCTGCATCTGCTGCATCTTTGTTGATTCTATCTATCCATCTGCTTTTTGGCTTTCCATGTGGTCTATTGCCTTCTATTGGGGCTTTCATATTTACATTAATAATGATAGCATATTGAATTAAATTTATATGTTTTTTACTTTATCAAACAGATGACATTTTATGCCATAAAATCTGTTTTCAAATAATAAACTCAAAATTACTAAATCATATCTATATATTTTTTTTTTAGAAATTTGGTTATGCATACATATAAACACACATGTACACATATATGCAAACACCAGATAAAATAACATATCGTCAAGTGATGAATATTTCTGAATTCATGATTCTCAGTCTATCAGTTACAACAATGATCAGCTGTAAGGACTGAATATATCAGGTCCCTTGGCTCATCATCAGGTCATTATAAATGATATTTAGTACACAGTATTATATGTAATAAAATATTAATCTATTCATCTATACCTTTCTTAAACATATTTCAACATGGTTATTAAGTTGCTGCATATTTCCATAAACATTCTCATTACAAATAGGACATATAACATCATCAGGTTTTTTCTTGCGAGTTTTCAGCCTTAGTCGGCAATGTCGATTAGATTTTATTCTTAAATAGGCCTGAAAAAAAAGATAATTAATACTTCAATAATGAACAATAAAAATGTTTTAAACTTAAATATTAAAAAAATTCATTGTTACTTCCAAATTATTTTACATCTATAATGAATATATGTCTAGAAAAACATTAATAGATCTTATATTTAAAACAATAATCAGTCAAAATAAATAAAACAATATTTTTTTTTTTTTCTTTCCTATGCCATAGTCATTGGTCATTCGACCATCCGAAATCTTGCTGCCCAGTATAAGTTTGATTTTTTTGTATAATCATTTATATATGTTTTATTCCTAATATCCGACAAAGCAGGACATTTGTTTAGGTGGTCTGCATCCATTTCCGCTTGTTCACATAAACGCCTATCTTGTGGAGATGACTTTGTAGATAGTCGTGACCAGTGGCCAGGCGGAAGCAGGCTACTGCATCTCTTCTTGGTAGGTCTGTTGGGATCGAGGATTGCTGCTTGCGAGTCGACAAAGAGAACAGTGCTCTGAACTTGTCTTCCTGATAGTGTTCTTAGAGCTATGAGGATCGCTGCTATCTCACCTTCAAAATTTGTACCATCCTCACCCACCGCAGCACTGAACTGAAACTCTCTCGAGTAAACTCCTGCCCCAGCATTTTTAACGGCTGATCCATCGGTATAAATAAATAAAACAATATACAATTGCCCGCTACCTGGCAGCGCCATATGTGCACGCTCACTCATTATACCTACAAGTTGTATTTTATTACTTATTATTTTAATGTAAACACTGAAGTTCTAAATTGTAAATATGTATATAAATTGTGAATACTTTTTAATAATAAAGACTTATGGTAATAAGATATACTGAACAAAGCTTAAAAATAACAGTAACTCTAACAACCCTTGCTAGACGATTTATTCATGGCGGAATGATTACCAGCAGTCCTCGATGCTAATTCAAAACTTGGATCATCATCCTCCGGGATGTAAAAGCTTCAGATTGATCAGTATATTTTATATACCCCTTTTGGTTCTCTATCAATCTGACTTTTATTTCTCTCTGTGCTTCTTTAATCTTTTCTAACTCCATACAATGTCTGGATGCTCATCCATCTGCTTGTACTACTATATTATATGCCTGGAGGCTCGTCCCTTTGTTAGCGGTGTACATCCTGCAGTGTCATAAGGCTCATCCCTTAGGTCGCAGACCAAGATTGATTTGGGTGCACATCTGCCTGACATTTGAGATCATCCTGTCTTAGCCTTCTCCTTATCCACTCAGTCACTCTTCCTTAAATGAATACGCTCTGTTGAGGCCTCTTGATCACTATATTTAACTACCTCGGCAAAATCATTATGTAAATCATAATAGCCCTTTTCACCTAACACACACATACAAGATCCTGAAATTGAAGAGAAACATTCTCTAATAGGGGTGAAACCTACTTATACTGTCAGCCTCAGCGGTAGGCAGTAGCAGATTCAGGATTTATTTTTGAGGAGGCTAATTTTTTTTTTCTTTAATAACAGTAATTACAAAAAAAAATTTAGGGATAAAATTTATATATTTTTTTGTTACAATTTAAAAAGAAAACTTTCTTTGTTCCTCTCAACCAACTTCTTTCCTCATTTTAAAATTATTTCTCAACAAAATATTAGTCAACATTCTTTTATTGAGGTAACAAAATATATTATAGATATATATAGATCATGGATGGATTACTGCAGATAAACTATAAACGGATATTTTATCAAAAAGACCTTATTAAATTAATAAAGTATTACTACTTAGTACTTAATACTTACTACTTAGTACTTATTACTACTTAGTACTTAAACAAAAATAAAGTATTACCTCCCATCTATTCTCTAGAGATCCATCAGAAACTGATTCCTTATTCCTCCGACTTCTATTAGAAGAAGTAATTTTATAAAGTTTTTCTAGTTCTTGGATAAAATGTGAATCAAGGTCACCAACTCTAACTGACAGACCGCACACAGGGCAGCAAGAAGGGTCAGTTTTCTTATCTATAACAATAGGATGTATTACAGGCAGTAAACAAAAAAAAAAAAAAAAAAAAAGAGAGAATATTTAATGAAAGAAAAACGAAAGTGTAGGTGCAGATGAACATGCATATTAAAATTAGAATTGAACTCGGGATACAATTAATAACGCAATTTGTGAAAATTCATTCTATGAAAATAAGGAAGTAAAAGTGTATTATTTATTTTTTTCAAGTCAATATTACTAATGAAAACTTCATAATTGCAAAAGGATAATAAAGCAGAAGCTTAACATTTTTAAGTAATCAAAATGAAAATTATGGAAAGAAATACAATACAATTATATGCATGAATCAAATTCTATAATGTAGCCAGACAAATAAATATGAAAGAACAGTAACACTGGTTTGTCATAAGCTAAATAATTCACTCATCAAAGGAGCATTATGTCATTACCATAACCAGGTAATTTCAATATATAGAAACACATATATCTTTACTTCTGAATACAGGCTGTTTAAATTAAAGGAATACAAACATGAAATACAGCAACATTTAAATTAAAACTCTTATTAAAATTTTAAAAATAAATAATGTAAATAGCACAAAAAAATTAATTAAAGGATACTTTACATTAAAAAAAATATTTAAATTATTTGCCTGTAAGACAGGGTCACAGATAGTTTTAGAATGAATATGTCTTCAATCAGTATCTTCTTCCATCTCCATTTTTTAAACAACGTAAATTTAATACCTTTGAACGAATAAATTTCAGGAAAATAATATGTTGGGCTTCTTGAATACGATAGGTTACTGCTCCCCATCATACCTGGAAGAGAGACAGCAGCTAACTAAGGGTAAAAGGGACAACCGACCTAGGGGCTTCTATTCAAGTCCCCTACCCCCTAAACTCACCCTTGTACAGTGCTAACCCTCACTATCTTTTTAGGAGTGGAAATTTGGTTCTTCCAAAAAGTTAAAATATTCCGAATATTTTAAAGTAAATTCAGCTTTGGCGATTGAATATCATGAGTGAGTAAATGTCTTGCTATAAAAACCTATTTGTACCTTTATTATTAGATGTTTTAATCTAGAATACTTTAAAAAACAAAAAAAAAACTATATTTAGAAAATATTTTGAACTGAAAACTATAATACGATTAGAAAGTTAGAAAAAAACACGATTTTTTAAAAATATATCAAAACCATTGCACGTATATCAAGTGCTTCCCTCTATCATTATCAAATTCAACTTCAAATTAAGAAGGTTCTATTCGTATTAAATTTAAGTTAATGTCTCATCATTTAAGTAATAACTCATTTGGATTAAATGGTTTCTTTTAATAGACGTTCTTGAAATTGGTGAACTAAATCAGTTGAAGCGAATGAAGTTCGCATTTATATAAATATGGGGGGAGGGGAGAGTTAGTAATGAAATACTCAATTATATTTAAGTGGATTATTAAAATTCCTCAACTTAAATGCTCTTTTGATTGGTCATCTTTATAATGAAAGAAATTTTTGCACAGCGAAAATAAACATGAAAATAAAACAAACAAATATTACACGAATGAATTTTTAAAATTAATATTAATCAAAAGTTCAATAAAAAATCAAAATTCAAGTGCCTCTCTTATGGAAATAAAAAACCCGGCTCTATCATCGGTCATGTCAGCACGGACGGATCTACGGGGGGGGACTTTCGGGCTAAAGCCCCCTCCCCCAAAATAGTAAAATATAATCATGTTTTATGAAAAAAATTATCTTATATATAATATTGTTCGTCTAATTACAGTTAATAGGTCTTCAACAATCACTTAAAGACCGTTTCATATAGGTCGTTGGTTTCTTTCTTTCTTCCGAAGTCATTATCCTAATATATTTATACAAAAAAAAAAAATTCGGGCTGATGTCCCCCCAAAATTAAATCCTGGATCCGTTGGTGTATGTCAGGATTATATCTATAAAAGCAGAAGTTTATTGACTGCAATTTCGTAATAATAATAATACAACTATGAGGGAGTTAATACATTAAAAAATTAACAATTTGAATCTGTATCTACAGACATGATATTGCACACACCTACTGCTTTTAACAATTATTTATAATTAATAAGTAAGTTACAATGTATATTTTGTAATATAGTCAGGAAAATCTACACTTTTTACAAACCCTGTTGTATATTTATGGGACAAGGTACATAAAATAAAAGTTATTTTCATTCGCATACAGTTTACATAGACGTATGGTTTTTAGTAATTAGGTACCAACTTAAAAAAAAAGTGTGACTAACGAAAACACGATAAAAAAAAAGACTATCCAATATATGACATTTTAAAAAATTAAAAACAATTTTATTATGTGTTCTCATCTTTCAAATTTGACAAGATAAATGAACTGTCTCAGTAAAAAATTGCGATTGAAACCGAAGTGATATCAAAACGACTATAACAAAATACAAATAAATAAATATATTTATATGCAAATAATTAGGTTTTTTTTTTTTCAATTTCTGTAAAGGATAATAAAATTATTTATTTAAAGCAACCACCAATGCGCTAAAAGGTGCCTATATAAAAACAGAGATTATCTTCAGAATATAAAGATGGTTTACAAAATTAAGCGATAAAACGTTGAAGAACACTAAAAATGAGAAATATGTTGTCAGTATGTAGGTTTAATTTTTTTTATTTTCCCGCGTACTAGCTCAATTTATTTTTTAAATTTAAGCTTTAAGCTTTAAGCTCTATCCTTTATGGTGAAATTTGAAGCTTAGTTTATTATGAATTTAATTAGATCTTTGAATCGGTGCTATACAATAGAATTTATTGGAGAATCGCGACAGCTACCTAAATTTTGGTTTAAAAAGTATGTAATAGCTGGTTAAACATTTATTTGAATTTTATAAATCTTACGTTAAGCAAAAGTGGTGCTTTGGGAATTCAATGGGATTTTTTTACCTTCTTCTTCTTTTTTTTTTTGTTGCTTTAATTAATAATTTCGTATTTTATAATTTAAACAATGGTAAAAGGACGAAAGCAAAGGCAAAAGATAGGAGGGACTAAGTAAATGAATTAAAATAAAGCCAAGGAGAAAAAAAATGTAAAGAAAATGGCCGACGGGCACGCCCCTTGGGATTCCGCATGCGCGGCCCCTCCTTACTTTCTTATTGGAAAAACTTTTTGGAAATCACGAGATTGGTTTATTTTCATATTTGAAATTATATTTTACTTCGTTTTATACTATGTAATATATAAATATTTTCTCAATATATTTATAGTTAATTTATTTTTCGAAAAACATTTTGTCATATATAAAATATTTCATTATGAACGTAGATAACTCAAATTTTGAGTTAAAAAAAGTATATATATTAGACAATTTATTAATTTTACTAATCTGCTGAAGTTTGTTTTCTAAACTAGTACTTTTACTATTTGTTAAAAACGCAAATATTTGAGGGGGGGGGGGCTGGTTATATAAATTTTTCAAGCTAATAACCTTCTTATACTTTATATTTTTTATTTGAATAAACAACTTTATTAAAACACAAATATAACAAGTAAATGCTAAAACATAGCTAGAATGACATAAAGAGATTAGCATAGAGATTAGAATATTTCAATTAAAATTGCAAAGGTATATTATTAGTTATTTTAACTAAAATTAACCTTGTCTGCCATTAAAAAAAAATACGGCTGAAATAAAAAAATATTAGGCCGCTCTGTCAAGGATCTAAACCGGGATTAAGTGGGACAAATGTGGATTTATTTTTTATTTTTTCAATATAACTTTTGACAACCAAAAAACCTTGATTGTCAACATTTTTAGACTAAACCGCTATGTTTCTAACTTACGTATATCGAACTTTGGTTTTTTTATTTCTTAGGAAATTCTTTTATATATATATATATATATATATATATATATATATATATATATATAATATATATATATATATATATATATGTGTGTATAACAGTAGCGATTTGCATATTCAGTATGCACTGGAATTATTTTTTTAAAACTACAAATCATGAAATATGCAATCTGAAAATGCGGAACTCTTTCGAATTTAAGTATTTGCTGATAAAAAAAAACTCGTGAATACCAAGCCCGTATATGTCGAGGGATTACTGGATTTCCGAAAACGGCTTCTTTCAGAGATTTTATTCTCATACGAAAAATTTTAAATTTTGTAATATACATAATTTTTAACAAATCAAAACGATGAGGACGGCCTTGGTACGGCCCAAGCTACATTAATATAATTTCAAAACGTGTCTCTTGTGAGAATAAATCCTTAATTCATGTTTTTTACTGAAGAAGTTTATAATAGATTATTTACTGACTGCAAGTGTAAATATGGTATTTCAATAATTATGGTATTTCAACGGATGTAATGGAAAATTTATCTTACAAGTGTAGATAAGTGATACTTATTATTTAATAATAATTATAATTCCTATTACAACACTAGCGGATCCAGGATTTAATTTTGGGGGGGGCTTCAGCCCGAAAGTTCTTTTTTCATAAAAATAACGATAATTACTTTGCAAAAAAAGAGAGAAGCTAACTAACTACCTATATGAAATGGTGTTTAAGTGATTCCTAAAGCCCTTTTAAATGTAATTACACGAACAATAATACTTTAAGAGATACTTTTTAAATTATTTTTTTCGAAAAAAACATGGTTATATTTTATCATTTTGGGGGGGAGAGCTTCAGCCCGAAAGCCCCCCCTCCCATAGATCCGCCCGTGTATTACAACAAATATTGCCTAAGATACAATTAGTTGCTCAGGGTATAATATATAGTGGTTCAAGGTACAACAATATTAATTGTACCTTGGTTCATTTATTTTATTTTTTTAAATGATATTTTTTCTTAGTCAAAATCTTATGATAAAATAATTTAAAAATTAACACAGTATCCTCAAAACATGAAAAATAAAATTCTATTTTGAACTAAAAAACGTCTGCCAAGTAAGGTCAGTATAGCTTCCTCATTTGTTAAAAGATGT